CGCAGAATTCAGCCTCCCTATGTACAGGTGGGTCTGCCACACACAGGACCCAGGAAGTCAAAGCTAACTGCATCATTCAATGCATACGTATCCGTGCTTCTAACAGATTATGAGCCAGCTGTGGGCCGGCGGGCTAAGCCACTGCCTGAGACACCAACACTCCGTGTGGGCACCAGATCAAGTCAGCTGCTCACCTTAGGATCCAGCTCCCTGCTGACGGCCTGAGACAGTAACAGAGGATGGCCCAACCCACCCATGTGGGAGACCAGAATGGCATCCTATGCTCTTGGTTTCAACCTGGCCCAGGCCTGACAATTGCAGACATTTGTGAAGCTGTAGATGGAAGATATCTCTCTTGTTGTCTCTCTGGCTTTCAAATAAACATTTTTTTTAAATAAAATAAGAGGTGAGTGTGGAGATACAACAGGTTAAGCCCCACTGCCCATGACATTCACATGCCACTTCAAGTCCCAGCCGCTCCTGTCTCAATCCAGCTCCCTACTAATGCACGCGGCAAGCAGAGGAAGATGGTCCACTTGGGAAGTGAACCAGCAAATGGAAAATCTCTGTATCTCTTCCCCGCGTTCCCTTTTAAGATTTAAATGAATCTTAAAAGAAAGAGAGAAAGAAAGAAAGCAATACAGCTATGAGATGCCAAGCAAAACTACATCAACTAAATAGACAAATGATGCACTATGACAGACAGACTGAACAGATCCGTATGCCACCATGCACTACAACCTTTATGTCACTCCTGTCGGTCAAGAACAATGACCAACCCTCCCACCCTGCAGGCCCCACACAGAGGTTTCACCACCCCTACCCCTTCAAGGGACTGTGCCCAACAAGAGCAACACGTGGCATCACAGGACACAGAGGAAGAGCTCCCTGGGAGAGGGCACAGAAGCGAGGAATCAACACAGTAGGCACGAGTGAGGAATCTACAACATGAAGCTGATGGAGAGGGACTCCGAACACTCAGCACTCAGATCTCATGGCAAGGACCACAGTCCCAGCCAGCCCACACGGGAGGCACATCGCTAGGGGAAAGGCACAACATGGGGGAGGCAAGAGGCTGTGCCTGATGCTGAGCCAGGATTTCATCTCTGAACCCACTACACTCACACTGGGCCTGCAGCGTAACTATTCATCCAACATCCAAGGAAAGGGGAAAACAAACTTGTGCTGGGTGCTGGGCAATCAGCCACAGCAGAGCTACAGAGGACCCAGATTCAAAACAACAGTAGCCCTGACCCAATAGCTCCCCTGGTAGCAATTGAAGCCACAGCTGCTTGCTGGTCCACCCATGAAAATTATTTTGCCTCTCTCACAGGTTCTTTTTGTCTTTTTTCAAGTAAACAAAAATGACTAATTTTTTGAAAAGCCAAACTTCCACCTATGTCCCACCCCATCCACTCTCTCCCTTGACCACCCATTCCTCCATGTCCGTGGAATGATTTTCAGTCCTATTCAGATGAGATCCAACATACACGCCCACAGGAGGTACCTTCCCTCAGAACTGCACCCTTACATGGCTGCTGTTCCCACACCCCCTTCCCCTGCCCATCTCACCCTTCCTGAAGACCTGCCTCCCTTCTCTGCACATCCACTGTTCCCACAGGACACCCAAGTGCTCAGATCCTTGGTCCTGTACTGGACCTCTCAGCACCTCTCACCTGGGACACTCCTCCTGCCCTGAATCATCAACTTCTTCTAAGACCACATTTTCTACCAGCCTTGCTGCCCAGGCTGCGCAGCTGTTGTATCATGCCTCATATCTGTTCCAGGCTCCTCCATGCCCCAGGGCGGCTCCTTGTGGGCCTCTGCCAACTGGACCGAGTGTGAAACGCCATGGACAGGCCAGTGCTCCCCAAGCTGCCCTCCATCATGGCTCCGTCACAGTCTGCCACCTCAGCTGGCCCAGCCACCATCCCACCGTTATTCCAACAAGTGTGCTCCCTGTAGCCTCCTGGCTTTCCCCTCCTTCACACCACGCTCTAACCTCTCCAGGAAAAGAAAAACCCTTGTGCCACACCAATGCCTGGTCTTGTCAGGCTTCCTAAGTCATTGAAGAATTCTGCCATTACAGGATTTACTAGTTTCTTAACTTTCCAAATGTCTGCTTCCTCCTACAAATCCGTTCCCCCACCCCCACTGGGCTGAAGTTTTTGAACAATACAAGTATCCCTTTTACTGGATTTGCAACTGAGACACTGTTGATATGCAAATGATCTGCTCTTTGATTGCAAATAAATATGACATTTATATAGGGAAACATATCAAAACTCTTGGACCGTTTTTAGTCTGGTTAACAGTATGAGAAAAGGGCCCAGCGCGGTGGCGCAAGTGGTTAAGGTCCTCACCTTGAACGCCCGGGATCCCATATGGGCGCCGGTTCTAATCCCAGCAGCCCCGCTTCCCTTCCAGCTCCCTGCCTGTGGCCCGGGAAAGCAGCAGAGGATGGCCCAAAGCCTTGGGTTCCTGCACCCGCGTGGGAGACCCAGAAGAGGCTCCTGGCTTCGGATAGGCATAGCAACGCCGTTGCGCTCACTTGGGGAGTGAATCATCAGATGGAAGATCTTCCTCTCTGTCTCTCCTCTCTGTATATCCGCCTTTCCAATAAAAAAATAATAAAAATAAATCTTAAAAAAAAAAAAAACAGTATGAGAAAAATCTGGCCTCCTACCTGGTGCCTGCATTCAACAGGAGCACCGGTTCAAGTCCCAGCTACTTCATTTTGGACCCAGCTTCCTATTTGTGTGCCTAGGAAAGCAATGGAAGATGGCCCATGGATTGGGGACCCAGAAGAAACTCCTGGCTCTTGGTCTCTGGCTCCAGATAAGCTCAGGTCCAGCCTTGGCAGTCATTTGGGGAGTGAACTAGTGGATGGAAGATTTCTCTGTCTTTCCCTGTCTCTGTAACCCTATCTTTCAAATAAATAAATCCATCGTAAAACAAAAAAAGATCTTGACATTAGCTTATTCTGGACTTAGGGTAAACCCTAAATTCATAACGCATGTTCTTATGAAGAAAAAGGCGAGGATCTGAGACACAAAAACACACAAGAAGGCCACGTGAAGGCAGCAGGCTGAGAGCAGTGATGCTACCGTGAGCCAAGGAGCATCAGAAGCAAAAAGAACGGACTGACTGCCCGGCAGTGTTCCACAGACAGCGAGGCCTTGCTGGCACCTGCTGCAAGACTTGGGTCTTCAGTGCTGTAGTAAAAAAGCAAGTTCACTGTTTCAGGACATCAAATTTGTGCCAATTTGTAGCACCCCTCACAGCCCCCAAAGTCTACAGGCTAACTACTTCATGGAAGGCACTCCCCAAAACTATTAAAGGAAGAACTAAGGAGAGAAAGCAAAGGGAAGAGGTGAGAATGTATCCGAACTGTGGGGCAGGAGTCCAGGACACAAACTTCGGCCGACAGTGGGACTCGTACAGGCCAGGCCTCCACAGTGTCCGATGGCCAGGCCCAAGCTCTGCCAGGCCCCAAGCACTGCCAGTTCAACCTGGGCCATGCAGAGCATCACCACGAAGGGATACTGAAGTCAGTGACAACTTCTCATTCACCAAATACCTTGCTTTCCTCTGAAGAGCTTCCAGATGCAAGCAGCAGCTGAATTCCAATGGCATTTCAAACTTACACTGTAATCAGCTCAGGAAAAATGCAGTGAAATATTACCTGCTATTTTCGTCTGCAGAGCAAAACCCATTTACAAGCAGTTGGCCAAAGCCAACTGGAAATGGCGACATTTTCACAAAACTGGACCAAAACACGATGTGACAGACTCGGGCGCCCCTCCGTGACCCAGAACCTACACGCTGACACCGTCACTGAGTGATGACTCACTTGGGCTTTCTGGAGTGACAAAGGACCTTTTCTCCAGGGGAGGGACTGACGTCCACTTCACTCAAAGCATTCCCTTCAGAAAATCTGGCCACAAAATAAATAAATGCCACTGTGGCCACCACCAAGATGTTTGAAGAAGTCCAATATCCATCCTCAGACCTCTTGCTACACACTGTACCCCACTGAAACTTTTCCTAACTCCAAACAGGGAAAGGAAAAAGTGAACAATCTGGGAGGCTTCCCTGCTCATTCACACCTTCTCCGATTGGATTTGAGCTAAATTTCTCCGAGATGGTGCCTGTCGTCGGGACATCCCACCATGTTTTCACAGTGTTATGAAGCGGCACGCCACCACAACAGAGCAGGGCACGGAGCCTGGGGACTCAAACTTCAGCTTCACAAATCATCCCTTGGAAACACTTCAGAATTAAACTCTCCCAACCCAAAGCATCGTTCAGAAAACAAAACCCGGGGTCTTGGAGGCCAGGCGTTCTGCTAGAATGAGGCCAGCAAAAGATTGTACAACTAACGCCCGCATGAAGCCAGTTACTGAAATCGCCTCCTCCGTCGGAAAGTCAAGAATTGGCAGGCTCGAGGAACCCGTAATTTTGAGTTTCTGGCTGTTGAGCCACTTCAGAGGGGGCTACCCAGGCGGACACAACGTCTGCTCAGCCAGTAAAAGCAACTCTGAAAAGCCGCTCCTCCGCGGCAGTAAAACCAGGGTAACAAAGGGCGAAGGATAGTTGTCGAGCGGCCGCCGTTTTTCCCACCCAAGGGCTCCTGGATTAGGGGCGCTGGCACTCGGAGCCGAGGACCAGCTTTTCTCGGAAGCCCAGGCCCGCGTGAATGCGTTCGAACGCGGGCCACTCCGTGTTTACTTGCATCCCCACGTGGCTCCGCGCCTCCAAGCAGAGCAGTGCCGGGCGCGCCCGGGAATCCGAAAACTTTGCGAACTAGCGGCGCTGGGAGCCGAAGCTCACTAACTCGCCCAGCACCGACCCCGGCCTACACCTCCCACTCACACAAAGCCGCTCGGGGTGCCCGCAGGACCATCCCTCCCTCCCTCCCTCCCCGCCCTCTGCAAAGTTCCGTGGGGCAAAGGGGGGGAAGACGACGGAGCAGGGCGGGCGCCCCGCGCGCTACTCACAAGGTGACCGTGCGGTTGGGCAGCGTGTCCGGGGGCAGGACCTGCGCGAGCTCCAGGCTGCTGCACACCACCTTGCCCTCGGCGGCACCCGCCGCCCTGCCGGCCCCTCGAGGCCGCCCGTCGTGCTTGCAGCCCGGGGGCAGCGCCGCGGCCCCGCCACCGCCGCCGCCACCGCCGCCGCCGCCGGGGCCGCCTCCTCCCAGCAGGACGAGCAGCGCCAGGCGCAGCAGCAGCGGCGGCGGTGCAGACGAGCGGCCCCGCCGGCGCCCGGGCAGCTCCATGCTGCGAGCCGGGCCTGAGGGCCGAGCCGAGGCGCGGTGGCCTAGCGGGCGGCCCCTGCGCCCGGGCGGGCGGGAACGCGGCGCGGGCCCGGCGGCGCGCGGAGCCTGTTGGTGGGCGGAGGACGGGCCCTCCTCGGCGCCCGCATGCTTCTTTGTCCGCTGCGGCCGCGCTCGGCCTCGGGGGAGCCGCGGGGTCACGGCCGCTCGGGTCCCAGCGCCGCTCGACCGCCCGGCAGGAGCACCGCCTCCTCCGCCGCCGCCACCTCCCCCCGAGCCCGGGCCGCGGCTCCTCCCCGCCCTCCGCGGCCGCCGCCGGCCTCCCCCGCCCCTTCTCCAGCTCCTCTTCCTCCTCCTCCTCCTCCTCCTCCCCCTCTCCTCCTCTCCTCGTCTTCCACCTCCACCTCGGCTGCTGTGGTCCGGGAAGGAGGCGCGCTCCTGGGATGCGAGGGGCCAGCCCTCTAGCCCGTGCGCTTCCCGGAGTAGGGGTACGGGTTGTGGTTCGGGAACCCAGGGGAGGACGCTAACTCTTGGAGAGAGCGGAACAAAGTTCTAAACTCCAGCAAGAGCGCTCCCGTGCTGCAAGTCTCCCTTGGCGGCCGCCGCCCTCCTCCAGACAAAGCCACCCGACGCGCCCGTCGGGGCTACCGGTTTGGGATGAGGCGCGGTTTGGAGTGAGGTGAGGGAAAGAAGGAGGACTGAGCTTCTTGGAGCCAACAACCCGAGCTCAAATACTACTATCTTCGAGGCAATTGCCTTCCACGGTATCTATGGGAAATGTTACTACTCTCCAATAAAGTGAATTCTCTAGAGCTGCTTCTTGCCTCCGCCAGCGGTAACTATGGCCTTGTGTTTGCAAAGCCAGGTGCAACTACTTTATGTTTAAAATTGCATAAGGAATAAGCACAGCTCATACAATGGGTCTTCATCTCTCTTGAGAAATCCGTCTTCCTAACTCCTTTAAAGGCCAGGTCTGACTGCAAATTACCCGGATAGCCTGGAGTTCCATCCACATCCATGTCAGATCTTGCACACTGGCAGTCCCATCGCTTTGCTTGCTATGCCCAGTCCATTTGAGAATGAGAGAGGCGTTGTGTCCAGCCACGCTTTAGGCCTGGAATGCATGTACTAGTACGTAGGTCCCCTGCTGAGAAGACATCCGCTAAGACATTTGCACTGGCCTAAAGTGGCTTGAGAATTTGGGGGTCACGATATTCTGGAGCCTAGACACACATCATGAGGATTGGATCTGGAAGTTTTTCCTCCCTTTAGGAGGACCCTAAACAGTCCCTGGAAGATGCAAATTTTCTTACCTGGGTTTAAGGACACCCATGCATACCACGTCTCAGGGAATCCATGCCACCGGAAATTCCTCCATATACAGGACGCTGTTGGGTTCAATTTAAACAGTGTTTCATTGGACCAAGATTTCCTGAGATTCAACTGTTTCGGACACAACATGGGACAGTACTACCTAAATTATACGTTCTGTGATGGCTGAGTTGTTCTAACCCAGCAGCCTAGTTTGAGTCTCAGTTCGTTTCAGACTCCAGCTCCCTGCTGAAATACACCCTAAAGGAAGGCAGTTGATGGCTCAGGTACTTGGGTCTGTGCCACCCACCTTGCAGGCTAGATGGAGGCCCAAGCTCCTGGTTTCAGCCTGAAACAGATATTGGGGAGTGAGCTAGTTTACAGTTGTCTCTTTCTGCCTTGCAAAAAAAAAAAAATTTAAAATAATTCGTCATTGAAAAATTGTGGAATCTGTGGTGTCCAGTGTGGAGGCCACGTGTAGCTGGATGGCTGTTGCTATTTAGCTGGGAGGGGATAAGATGGTGTTTTCATTTTAATTGAATTTAATGTAAAAGCCAAGTGGCTACCAAATTGGGGTTAAACCGCATGTCTGGTCACTATGATGAGTAGGAAAAGAGGACGGTTGTCACTAACTGCCTTACATTCATAAATAGCCTTAGAAGGTAAACCGATGCGTCCATATTAAGATGCCTGAAATTGGCCACGTTTTCCTTGAATTTGAAGAACTTTCCTTTCTAACAAATAACCACAATTATTACCACCTGTTTGCCAAGATAAAATCTTCCTACTATAACAAACTCAAACTCCTTTATTATTATCGATACAGCCAGGACTAGACCGGTAAACTTAGGAATGTGTATATTTTAAAGCCCAACATTAATACTTACCTGGGGGGTGAAATAGTGTAATTACAGGGTGGTTTTCCCAGAGTAAGACTCCAGATATGCCAGCCCCTGTGTATTCCCCAACGATGGAAAGCTCAACTGCATAGATATGTGATAGTTTAGCCCCCATTCCTCATAAAGACCTACTATGTTTGTTGATGTTGATTTTTCTAAAGTTAAATTTATAGACAAAGTACATATGTGCTTATTTGGTCATCATAAGTACTAATGCAAAATTGGCCTATAACCAATTTATTTTGCTCTGGTTGAAAAAGTTGTATAAGGTACCAAATCATCAGAAAAGGAGATACCACAACTGGTAACATGAATTCAAAGAGGAATGCAGAGAAAATGCCTTTACTCGAGGGGTATTTTCAGCTATTCATGGCAGAAATCAGCCATGCCATCCTTGAAAATAAAGGCTACTGGGCTAAAACTGAAAAAGGCTGTAGGAAGTGTATCTTTCAACACCATAGTCCTGTGAATGCATTAAATTTTGATTATCATTCTGTGTCAGTATGGGTTCCCAAGGACTTGCCAAGTCCAGGGGATGACACTAACTGCATGTGTGTCCCTTCTCAATCATGCCTGCAGGTGAGCTCAGATTAAGCTGCCGTGGATTTGACTGCTTTTTGTGAGACAGGTCTGTTTACTCTGTTGCTGTCTTCTTGGACACTTGAGTAATAGGTCCTTGCAAAATTCTCAGTTTGTACCACTTTGGAACAAGACAGCCTACAGAAACTGAGACTTGTCTTGTTAACCTTATGCCTGTGCTCACAGCCCAGCAGAACTGTGGCTTTAAGAATGGAATGGTAGATGGACCACATTCCACTGCGTCTATGCAAAGCCTGCTGTGCTACGTAAGCCTTGCAAGAGATACCAGCCTTGCAGGAGATACCGGAGGCACACTTCGGCATGCTTTGTTTCACTTCTTAGTGGAGAAACGACAACAGCTGTGTGTGCGTTGTGTATTCATATACTTAGGTAACATGTATGTATATGTGCAAATACACTTACTGATATAATAAATGTGTATGCATATTATTGATAATTTCTTGTACATACTTGCCTTTAGAGCCTACCAGACTAACAGCTTTTGGAAATTTTTCCTGGCTCCGTTCATTAATAATCCCCTCCCACTTTCCAGCACTCTATTATATCACTCTAGAATTTAGACCTTCTTCCCAATATGTTGCAACTTGAGTACTGTTAGATGATGGCCACCGACCGCCCGCCCGCTGGTGGAATAACATCGGCAAGTTGTTTAGAGTTGAGATGGAAGCTTTATTGGAAAATCCGCTCCTGGGCCCCCTTCGCACAGAGGGGAAGGAAGAGGGAAGCGAAAAGGGCCTCTCAGATACGTGTCTGGGAGTTTTATACCCATCTAGACACGTGGGAGGGCAAAGGGGCTGTCTGTGTCCCAACTATGCAAGGAATGTCCATTCAGGTGTGCCATTGGTCAACTGGAATCCCGCCAGGTAGGTGACGTAACTGGCTCCTGTGGCCCCTCCTCCTGTGGGCGGGGCAGACCCGCCCCTAGTCTCCAGTGCCCTGGGCAGCCATCAAGTACACCATCTTTTCTTATCCCTTCATTTATGTTTTGGTGTTAGCCACCCCACTATAGTATCGGCTCTGTGATGCTCTGTCCTATTCACTTTTGATGACACAGAGTTATCTTGCGGCTGCTGAAAAGGCATTCCTGAATGTTCTCCCGGTAGAGCTCCACAATCTTTTTCCTAGGCTCCCTTGTAAGTACCGGAGGCTGTTTGGCCGAGTTCTAGCCAATAAGAATCAAAAGCTCCGCAATATGATAACCACTAGACACATGTGATATATAAACACACATGAATTAAACAAAACTGAAAACGTCATCTGCTTGTCACTCTAGCCATGACTCAGGCTTTCCTTAGATATGTGGCGTGAGTGGGTGCCAATCTGGATGCCAAAGACTGGAACAGTTCCAACATTGTAGAAGACTTGTACATGGAGTGGCAGGGCGTGGGGAAGAGGAAGCATGAAGTAGGAAAAAGGGAGCAAGAGAGAGAGAGAGAGAGAGAGGAGAGAGACATGGCCCTGTAAGGGCATAACTGAAGCTCAAACAGGCATTTTGCGACCATATACCCAAAACCAAAATGAAAATGCCAAAATAAGTGGAAGAAATGAAAGGATAAAAACCACTTAGATCACTGAGGTGAAAGTTGTCAGCAAATATATGATCTCTGGACTGCCTTTAAAAAAAGGTTCTTTTTTTAATTAATGAATAATTAGAAATTGGAGAGAGTGGAGAGATATAAAACGATATATCTTTTGATAAAAAGATATATCTTTTGCTGCTGGTTGACTCCTCAGATGGTAGGTGGTGTTGTAGGGTTTTTGACCCTGAGGACAGCAGCAACCTCGATTCTTGTCTCACAGGAAAGAAGAATTTTCGTGCGGACACAGTTTAGTTTTAAAGCAAGATTTATTAGAAAAGTTGAGAAAGGAGTCTCCTGTCCTAGTGACAGGAGGGGGCTTTGAGATAGAAAGGACCCTTACCCCCTGCCAAAGAGGCAGAAGGAAAAGTGGAAAAGACACCTATCAATGGTGGGGAAAGCATCTTTTAAAGGTTTCCCTCAAAGATGTTTCTCCATAAACAAAGAAAATTTCTGGTTTCCATGGTACCTGGCCTTGAGAAAAAAGGCCAGAAAGGTGTCACTGGCCAACTTCCTTGGTCCCTTTCTAATGATAAAGAGGCCGGTAGGAAGCCCTCCCCCTTGGCAATGGCCAGGAGAAAGAATGGGGCTGATCCTTCAGGAGGGGATAGATATG